AGAGAATCCCGGAGAGAACTCAGCAGCAGCAGCAGCATCACCTTGCTATCCACTCTTAGCGTGGCCGTCACACCTTCACTGTGTAGCCCCGCGCCTACAACACCCGGCAAGCCCTCGTGGTGACTGACACATCCACCATATACAAGGACATGGATTGATGTGTATGTGTGTTTAGTATGTATCTCTATGGTATGCATTTATGTGTGTCTTTATGGCACGTGATTCTGTGTGTATGTATGTCAGTGTGTGTATGTCATTCACACACTGGGGAACGATAGTGTAGCGGTTAGCGCGCTACGCTATGAACCTGGCGACCCGGGTTCGATTCCCGCTCACGGCCACCACCAGTGACGATTATCTGAACCGGTCCCGGGCCTCCCCTAGGTCGACTCAGCCTCAAATGAGTACCTGGTGCGGTGTGTAAACATTGCCACTAGGGAGACAAAGACGGTTGGGCGTGGTGCTGGCCACCCACCCCCTCGTGTACCGTTCCGGCCTTCATAGGTGCTCGCTAACAGCACTTGCCCCTACAGTCTGTTAAGGCTATATGGGGGATCTTTGTCATTCTGAGTGTATTTATGGTGTTATTTCTATGTGCGCGAGTGTAATTCTGCGTGTAGGTATGGTATGTATGTCAGTGTATGTAATTCTGTGTGTATGTACCGTATGTATTTCTGTGTATCTGAATGTATGGTACGTATCTCTGTGTCTGAATTTATTTAATTATGTCTGTGTGAGTGTGTATGTATGGTATGTATCTGTGTGAGTCTATTTTATTTATGTCTTGCATGACTGTATGTATTTGTGTGTATGTATCTGTGTATGTATGTATCTGTGTGTGAGTCTATTTAATTATGTCTGTGTGTGTATGGTATGTATCTGTGTGTGTATGTATGGTATGTATCTGTGTATGTATGGTATGTTTCTGTGTGTATGGTATGTATCTGTGTGTGTATGTATGGTATGTATCTGTGTGTATGGTATGTATCTGTGTGTATGTATGTATGGTATGTATCTGTGTGTATGTATGGTATGTATCTGTGTGTATGTATGGTATGTATCTGTGTGTATGTATGTTATGTATCTGTGTGTGTATGTATGGTATGTATCTGTGTGTGTATGTATGGTATGTATCTGTGCGTATGTATGGTATGTATCTGTGTGTGTGTATGGTATGTATATGTGTGTGTATGGTATGTATTTGTGTATGTATGGTATGTATCTGTGTGTATGTATGATATGTATCTGTATGTGTATGTATGGTATGTATCTGTGTGTGTATGTGTGGTATGTATCTGTGTGTGTATGTATGGTTTGTATCTGTGTGTATGTATGGTATGTATCTGTGTGTGTATGTATGGTATGTATCTGTGTGTGTATGGTATGTATCTGTGTGTATGTATGGTATGTATCTGTGTGTATGTATGGTATGTATCTGTGTGTATGTATGGTATGTATCTGTGTGTATGTATGGTATGTATCTGTGTGTGTATGTATGGTATGTATCTGTGTGTGTATGGTATGTATCTGTGTGTGTATGTATGGTATGTATCTGTGTGTATGTATGGCATGTATCTGTGTGTATGGTATGTATCTGTGTGTGTATGGTATGTATCTGTGTGTGTATGGTATGTATCTGTGTGTGTATGTATGGTATGTATCTGTGTGTGTATGTATGGTATGTATCTGTGTGTATGTATGGTATGTATCTGTGTGTATGGTATCTATCTGTGTGTGTATGGTATGTATCTGTGTGTGTATGGTATGTATCTGTGTGTGTATGTATGGTATGTATCTGTGTGTGTGTAACAATAAGCACCCCCCTAAGCCATCCGTCCCCTGAGCCCCCATCCCACATTGCACTGCAGCTGTCGTGCTCTAGGGCAGCTCAGAGAGAGACGGAGAGAGGGAATGAGCAGAATAGAGAGGCAGGGGAGAGAAACGAAGAGAGAGGAGAGCTGGAATAGAGGACGGGAGAGCGATAAAGTGAGAGTACGGGAAGAGGGGGAGAAACGGATGGGAATGAGAGAGATTGCGAGGGAGGGAGAGAGAGAGAGGGACAGATAGGGCGAGAGGGGTGAGAGGGAGAGAGGGGTAAGAGGTGGAGAGAGCGGGGGAGAGAGAGGGAGGTGGAGTTGAGACGGAGGGAAGCGGAGAGAGAGAGGGAGCTTATAGAGAGAAATGAGAAGCGGAGATACAGAGGGAGCTGAGAGAGAAATAGGAAGAAAGGGAGCGAGGGGGGTGGGGGAGAGGAAGAAGAGAAAGAGAGAGAGAGAATCTCTCCCAGCACCTCTCCCCGGGGATTCCTGCGCGGCTCGCTGCACGCGTCTTCCCGGCACCAGCAGCGGCATCAGCAGCGACTCGGCACACAAAACGTGAGTGCGGCGGGCAGTGTGAGACTCACATCGCGTGCGTGCGACTATTGTAGCGGAGAGACACACACACACACGAGGATAGACCGGTGAGAGACTTACAGAGACGGGGAGGTAAGGGAGACGCGGGGAGAGAGACGAGGCGTCACAAGGATGGACAGAGAGACGGGAACGACATGGAGAGAGAGGAGCGCATGGGGAGATGGGGAGATGCAGGGACAGACGGAGGGAGACGCGCGGAAACAGAGACGCAGCTAGGCAAGGGGGGATGATTCAGGGAATACACAGGAGAGACACGGGGAGGGAGAGAGAGACACGGGGAGGGAGAGAGAGAGACACGGGGAAGGACAGAGAGCATTTAAAGGGGGGGGAGGTTACATAAAGCAAAGCATAAAAAAAACGAAATGATGAACGAAGCAAAGTGCCGACGACACCGAACATCTTCTTGTTTCCTCTGATCGTAAAAAAAGAGAGACACGGGGAGGGAGAAATAGACACGGGGAGGGAGAGAGAGACACGGGGGGGGGGGGGGAGAAATAGACACGGGGAGGGAGAGAGAGACACGGGGGGGGGGGGGTGGACAGAGAGACACGGGGAGGGAGACAGAGACACGGAGAGGGAGAGAGAGACACGGGGGGGGGGGGGGTGGACAGAGAGACACGGGGAGGGAGACAGAGACACGGGGAGGGAGAGAGACACGGGGAGGAAGAGAGAGACACGGGGAGGGAGAGAGAGACACGGGGGGGGGGGGGAGAGACACGGGAGGGAGAGAGAGACACGGGGAGGGAGAGACACGGGGGGGGGTGGACAGAGAGACACGGGGAGGGAGAGAGAGACACGGGGAGGGAGAGAGAGACACGGGGAGGGAGAGAGAGACACGGGGAGAGAGAGAGAGAGACACGGGGAGGGAGAGAAAGACACGGGGAGGGAGACACGGGGAGGGAGAGAGACACGGGGAGGGAGAGACACGGGGAGAGAGAGAGAGACACGGGGAGGGAGAGAGACACGGGGAGAGAGACACGGGGAGGGAGAGAGAGACACGGGGAGGGAGAGAGAGACACGGGGAGGGAGAGAGAGACACGGGGAGGGAGAGAAAGACACGGGGAGGGAGAGAGAGACACGGGGAGGGAGAGAAAGACACGGGGAGGGAGAGAGAGACACGGGGAGGGAGAGAGAACACGGGAGAGAGCGAGGAGGCTGATCATTCACAGTCGCTGTCACCGCAGTCGCAGTGCGTCCCAACGTCAACACGGGGACTCTGGGAGATCACTCGCGGACCCCACTCCCCCGTAAGTCCCCGTTCCCCCCAACCTCCATTCTGCCCGGCTCGTGGAGGTAGCCCCCAAAACCCCTTCGAGCCCCCCCTCCCCGCCGCCGCTTCGCTGCTGTGTAAAGTTCCTCCGGGTTTATGTGGCGCGTGTGGAGGCACGTGTCTACAACGCTGACGGCCATTGCGGCTCTCTGTGATTTCTGTTGGCCCGTCCCGTACCCCCTGAAGACCCCTTCCCACCAAGGACTCACTAATACCCCCCCCCCACCTCTTAATCCCCATGCTCCACGCATTGCTTGGACTCCCATGGCCGCTGCGCTCGGAGCGTTTATTCCTGGAGGCGGAGAGGGGAGACGGTGATGGGAAGACGCCGTTGTTGATGTTGTTGACGCATTCACTCTGCTCCTCCCCACACCTCTGATGTGCTCCCTCCTCCTTCCATCATCATCACCACCGTATGTATTTCCATCGTTATCATCGCCACTCACATGAATATCGTGATAGTCAACAACATCGTCGTCGTGGCCATAAATATCTCTCCCTTAACCTAACAAATAACCACTCCATAATAACCCCATCATCATCATTCGAATACACATCATCATCGCCATAATCACTCGTACAGCTAACATCGCTTATATCAAATAAATGCCCACGAATATAAACAATCATCATCACGCAAACGAATGTCAGCATCACTCTGCCATCACCATTTACGTAAATGTCATCCTAACGCCATCACAAGCATCATCATCATCATCAGCTCCCCCATCATCACCACCACCACCATCATCATCCCCCACCACCGCTCCATTGCCCGCTGCAGGTCAGGACAGGTCGCTCTGTGGAGGTCGCCATCAGATCGCTCCCAGCTCCTCTGCGTCACCGCCGCTCCTGCTGAAACATTCAACAGATAAACACGCGCGAATTGGGGGGGGGGCAGGGAAGGAGGGGGTAGGGGCGGTAGTGGGGGGGGGGGGGGGTTAGGAAGGAAGCGTCCACAGTGCTGATGAATGGAGGTAAGCAGGGGCCTTATCTCTCTGTCTCTGAATATTTTCCGGGTTGCTAGTGGAATAGATCGAGTAGTGGGGAAAATACCTGTAACAATAGATATACTGGATGTGGTGTGCCGAGTATGGATACATAAATATATCTGGGTTATCTGTTCGACTGTAGTAGGTGGAGCGTGACTAGTAGTCGTAGTAGTAGCCACATCCGTTGCGAGAGGAGGTATACTGGACGTGGTGTGCAGGGTGGTAGGTGGTGTCATGGTGAGTGGCGCTTGAGTTGATACAGCGAGTGGCTCAGAGATTCTTGCTCCTGCACGCACGCGGTGGGGGGACGGGGGGCGGGGCTGAGGGGGGGGGGGGGCTCGCGTCGATTCTCGATGGGGAATCGGATCGCACGTGGGATTAGTGGTGGCTGCTGCTGGTGATGGTGGCTGCTCGCTAACAGCACTTGCCCCAACAGTCTGTTGAGGCTATACGGTGGATCTTTGTCTTAGGTCGTGGTGAGTGAGAGTCGTGATGGTCGTAGTTGCGTTGTTGGTAGCGGTAGTGGTCACTCACTGTTCGCCGTACCTGCAGTGGCAGTGATAAAAGGGTGGGGGTGGGGGGGGGTGGTTATGGTGGTTGTGATTATCGTGACCATGCTGGGGCAGCAATAGCTGCGGTGGTGGTGGTGGTGTGGGCCATCGGCAGTTGGCGAGAGTTGACCGGTCGAGGTTTGTGACGGTGCTGGTAGCTGAGTTGGTGCTCGCTGTTAACCCGAGCATGAATCACCGTCATCATCAGCGTCGCATCAACGAACTCCATCGTCAGTCCGCGCTCTAGCGAGGGGCGGGGGGGTCCCTTCTCTGCTCCCAACTTGCCCCTCCCGTGGACGCGATGATAGGAGCCCTCATTTTCACGGAGGGCCACGGACGCCCGTCGATCTTCGGACGGGGTCATTCATCAGAACCGTACTCTGTGGGTGCCCGGGGGGTGCCACGAGGGTTAACTCATTAAGTAATTAATTAAGTAATTATTCATTAGCAGCCGCGATCAGATTTCATCGAATTCTGATTCAGCCGCGGGGGCAGCCGTGCTTTTGGAACCAGCGGATCCAACCTCAAAAGACGACGAACTTGCGGGGTCAAGGTCCCGGCGGGGTCCCTGTGCCGTGGGGGGCGAGGCTGGGGGAGGCGGCGGCAGGGGCGGCGGCGGGGGGCAGGACCCCCCGGCCAGCGAGGGGACCCCCCCCCGGCGGCGAGGGGACCATGTTCACGCTGTTCCGGCCGGGCTGCTGCAGTCTGCTCAAGAGGCCCTGCTGCCCGGCGCACGCAGCGAGGGATGAGGCTGCGGCGTCCTTCTACGAGCAGATCACGGTGATCAGGTGAGCGGGCACACGGGGGGGGGGGGGGCACCGTGCCACGTGGAGGCCGAGAGGCCTTGAGGGCCCTCCTCGCGCGGAGGCTCCTTCCGCCAGCAGTGGCAGGGAAGGGTGCAAATGCAAGGCTGCGCCTTTATCTGTTTTTTTTTTTAGCGATCTGACAGAAGAGGTATCGACAAGAGACGGAGATGTAGCGAGCTTGGCGAGGTGTGGCCAATAATAAAGATGATGTAGTGAGATGGGAAGGGAGATGCAGACGAGCTAGAGACGATGGATTAATTTATGTTTTATGTTAATTGTTTCGTTGTGTTTATTAGGTTTGCGATTCAGTTGATGGTTGATGCAGTCCCCCCCCCCATGTTTTAATGATTCCGAGACCCCCTGGGCTACTTGGGGCCCCGTGCTTGTTTGGTTATTCACAGCCCTCGTTGTCAATCCACTGCCATACCTCACCGCGTCGGTCCGTGCGGGTCGGCGAATGTGGAGGGTGGGACTCCAGATATGGCTCGCCACTGATGTCATCCGCGTCCGGGAACGAAACGCAGGTGGCTGGCCCACCTCATGGTGCAGTGCGCTAACAACTGCGCCACCGCTCCGCTGTAGCCACACACCACATTGGCTTCAGACTGCCTCTGAGTCTGGATGTCAGTGTGAGCGCCTTAACAGGTGCTCGCTAACAGCGCCCGTACCCACAGTCAGCGAGGTTCTCAAGGGCTCGCTGTATGTGTGAGCATGTCTCTGTGCGTGGGCTTCTACAAGTGTGTGTATAGTATCTACCTGGTGCGGTGTGTAAACATCGCCAATATCGAGACAAAGGCGGCCGGGCCTGGTGCTGGCCACCCCACCCACCTCGTGTGCCGTGCCGGCCTTCATCGGTGCTACTCGCTAACAGCACTTGCCCCAACGGTCTGTCTAGGCTATACGGAGGCGCTTTGTCTTTGTCTCGACACGTGTGTCCGCAGTGCGTGTGGACACGTGTATATACATACACACGTATCCACACGTACTGTGTGTGTGTGTGTGCAGTGCGTGTGCTGTGTGTACATAAACGAGTGTCTGTGTGTACACATTTGTATACGCAGTGCGTGTGTGTGCGTGCGCGTGTTGAGCTGACCGCCCTACGAGTTGAATACTGATGGCAAGTGCGCATCGCTCCCTCTCACGCAGCCCGCCCTGTCGGCCCCCCAGAGCGGGCACCCCCACAGGGAGACGTTCACAGCGCGTGGCCGCTGTCCTGTCCCAGGCGAACCCGGCCACCCGAGTTCGATTCCCGCTCGCGGCCACCAACGCCAGCTACGATTATTCTGAACCGGCCCTTTGCCTCCCCTAGGTCGACTCGGCCTCAAATTAGTACCTGGTGCCGTGTGTAAATATCGCGGCTAGGGAGACAAAGGCGGCCGGGCGTGGTGCTGAAAACCCCCCACCCCTTCGTTTGCCGTACCGGCCTTCGTAGGTGCTACTCGCCCTAACGGCACTTGCCTCACCCATCTCTCATCGCGGCCCCCCCCCCCCCTCCACTCCTCTGCCCCTCTCCTCCATCACCCTCTCCTCTATCTCTCTCTCTCTCCCATCTCTCTCATTCATCTCCGGCGCCCATCTCTATCCCTCATTCATCGCTCCCTAAATCTCCTCCTCCATCCCTCTCCCATCCACCTCCATCCCTCTCTTCCCCTACACCCTTCTCCTATTTATTCTCAAACTCTCTCCTCCATCTCTCTCCCCTCCCTCCGCATCTCCTCCCTCCCTCCTCCTCCTCCTCTCCCGCACGCTCGCTGTGTGCTAATGGCCGGGATGGGGAGCCGCGTGACCTTGGATCCTCCGCTCCTTCGCGCCTGCGCCGCTCTCACAGCGAGCGCCGCCGCTGCCACTACCGGCGCGCGCGCGCGTGACGAGGTGGAGGTGGAGGGAGGTGGATGAGGAGGAGGGAGAGGCAACACCACCACTACAATCTCCCTGTCGCTGGTCTGCGCGTGATGTAACCGCGGTGTTTGCGTGTGTGTTTGTGCGAGTTAGGCGTGTGTGTTTGTGCGTGTCTGCGTGTGTCTCCGCGTGTGCGGCATCTGCGCGCGTGTGTGTGTGTGTTTATTGTGTGTGTGTGTGCGCGCGTGTTCTGTGTACGGGAGCATGTGTACGTCCGGGTGTTTATCTCTTGGTCACCGTGTGCGCGCGCGTGCCCGCCTGCGGGTCTGTGTATCTCCCTGTGCGTCTGCATTCTCATCTCTTTGTCTCTGTGTCTCTGCGTCTCTGTGTCTCTGTGCACGGCGATCTCTCTTCCGCCGCCGTCCACAGTGTGGAGAAACCTCTTCTCGGAATCACTGCTCCGATGTGAGTACGATCCCAACCCCTTACCCCCCCCCCCCACCCCTCCCTCCACGCCGCTCCAACCCAGACCCTAAATCGTCAAGGTTGGGCTCCGGGCGAGGGCTATTCTGGCTGCGCCGCGTTAACCCGCGACCCGCGGTGATCTCTGAGTGCGCGCAGTCGCCACGGGAGCCCACGCTGGGACCCCTCGCTTCGAGGAGACCGCACCCCGGGTGGGGCGGGAGGAGGGGAGGGGGGCTTCGAGGGGGTAGGGGACTGCGGATGAGGAAGGGGGTCTAGTTGGCTGGCTGGATGGGCGAGGAGAGGGGGTGATTGATGCCGTCGCCGTCTCCTGAGGATGAGTGGCGAGTGGAGATTGCGTAGCCGTCTGCTGAGAAATGTAAAGGTCAGGGTGTGTGAATGGATGAGTGGCTGGATTGACAGATGAATGAATGATGAATGGATGCATGCTTACATGGATGAATGGATGGATGGCTGACTGAAAGGATTGAAGTACAGTGTGAGTGAGTGAATGCATTGGCGGTAGAATTCGACGGAAGAATGAATTAATGGGTTAAGTGGATTGACATGAATGAATGAATGAAGCGGTTGATGGATACATTACTAAACCAACGAATTGATATATGAATGGATCAATGAACGGGCGAATCTTTCTCCAGATACATGAATGAACGGGCATATTGATGATTAGTAGATACAGTATATAGGATGTATATAGATGGATGAATGGATGGGTGAGTGAATACTTTACTGAATGTGTAGATTAATGTATTATGCATAATGGCTGAATATATGACTTAATTGAATGTATAAACGTAGTCTTAATTGATGAATGTGTACATTCATTAATTATTCACACTATGGACTTGGAACGGCCATGAATCACGGCATCTGCACTGCCAAGAGAGATCGTGGAGGGTCGGAGTGAGTTCATCTCCCTCACCCAGTGAGTTCATCTCCTCACCCAGTGAGTTCATCTCCTCACCCAGTGAGTTCATCTCCCTCATCCAGTGAGTTCATCTCCCTCACCCAGTGAGTTCATCTCCCTCACCAGAGACGAGATGCGTTGGCAGTGAGTGGTGCACAAACAATAACAGCAACTCAACACCTTCCTTGTCAACAACAACAACGCCATGTGTGTATGTGACCCTTAAAATATATAACAGGCGACGTTTCATCCAATGGCCCTTCGTCATAGCACATACATACAGAGGCAAAGAGAGAGACACGGAGAGAGAATGGATAATACGAGTTGTACAATGCACTTGTTTACGCCAGGCTTGAGCGGATGTATATGGAGATTGATGTTTGAAAGCGGAGGGATCACAGTGGGGGTGGCCACACAGAAGCCACGTGATTTACGAGAGGCTTGAGCTGACTTCCACATTGGTTACATTGGACAACAACAAACACGACCAGTCTATCCATGCGTGTGTTTAGCGCTACGCTGCGCTACGAACCCGGCGACCCGAGTTTGATTCCCGCTCACGGCCAACACCAGTGACGATTATCTGAACCGGTCCTGGGCCTCCCATAGTTCAACTCAGCCTCAAATGAGTACCTGGTGCGGTGTGTAAATATCGCCACAGGGGAGACAAAGGCGGCCGGGCGTGGGGCTGGCCACCCACCCCCACGTGTGCCGTGCCGGCCTTCATAGGTGCTCGCTAACAGCACTTTTCCCAACAGTCTGTTAAGGCTATATGGGGGATCTTTAATATAATACACACGTGTATTGTATATGCGTGTTGCTAAACTCTGATCGATTACAACTTGAACAACGGTGCCGTTTGTTGCTAACCGCTTGACGTTTTGACTCTTTGGGCGCCTGTGCTCAACAAATGTTTTTTTCCTCTCTCTCATAATTTTTTTAAATTATTATTATTCGAGAAACCTCGTTGATGATGTCCCCGCCCCAGCCCCTCCACGGCGTGGCACGCGCGAGGCTCCGGCAAGGGGAGCCGGGAGGCTGCGTGGCCTCGCTGGCGGCGCTCGCTAGAACCGGAGGCAATTTGCGCAACGCGGCCAATAAACCACCGCGCAGGCCCTCGGCGGTGACCTTTGTGGCTCAACGCGCGAGGATTGATGACCCCACGGCGTCGTCGGCGGGGCCTCTTTCCATTGGCCCCGTACGAGGACTGTGAGCCGTGGGCCCAGCGGTCCACGCTCACACACTCGTCAATAACAACTCCGTAAGGGTATATATGGTCGGCGACGTTCCGGGCAATGGCCCTTCTTCGCAGGTGCATGGGAAGAGGCCAGAGGGGTGACGTGGCGAGCCATTTCTGAACCGCTCCTAGGTTACCCTCCCCCTCCCCACCCCGCGTTTACCAATCCCCATTGACCAGCGTGGTGAGGTATGGTCAAACAACTTCCCTCATGAGCGAGACTGTGGGAAGCCCTTCACCCAACGGTGGGTCGACAAAGGCGTGTAAACGTGTGCGCTGTGTGTGTATGGTGTGTGTATGTATGTATGGTGTGTGTGTATGTATGGTGTGTGTGTATGTATGTATGGTGTGTGTATGTATGTATGGTGTGTGTATGTATGTATGGTGTGTGTATGTATGTATGTATGGTGTGTGTATGTATGTATGGTGTGTGTATGGTGTGTGTGTATGTATGGTGTGTATGTATGTATGGTGTGTGTATGTATGGTGTGTGTATGTATGGTGTGTGTGTGTATGTATGGTGTGTGTGTATGGTGTGTGTATGTATGGTGTGTGTGTATGTATGGTGTGTATGTATGTATGGTGTGTGTATGTATGGTGTGTGTGTATGTATGGTGTGTGTATGTATGGTTGGTGTGTGTGTATGGTGTGTGTGTGTATGTATGGTGTGTATGTATGTATGGTGTGTGTGTGTATGGTGTGTGTGTGTATGTATGGTGTGTGTATGTATGGTGTGTATGTATGTATGGTGTGTGTATGTATGGTGTGTGTGTATGGTGTGTGTATGTATGGTGTGTGTGTATGTATGGTGTGTGTATGTATGGTGTGTGTGTATGGTGTGTGTGTGTTTATGTATGGTGTGTATATGGTGTGTGTGTATGTATGGTGTGTGTATGTATGGTGTGTGTGTGTGTATGTATGGTGTGTGTATGGTGTGTGTATGTATGGTGTGTGTGTGTATGGTGTGTGTGTGTGTATGGTGTGTATGTATGTATGGTGTGTGTATGTATGGTGTGTGTGTGTGTGTGTATGTATGGTGTGTGTATGGTGTGTGTGTATGTATGGTGTGTGTGTATGGTGTGTGTGTGTTGGATATTTAACAACAACGAGCAGAGCACCGGGTGGCTAAAACGCCGCAAACTAGCGCAGTGGGGAGCACAGGTGGTGCGTCGACCGGTCAGCTCCGTCAACCCGGGAATGGCACCTGGGGTCTGTCCCGTCACCTCCTGCCAGCGAGACTTCGACGCTTCACGTGGCCTCAAAGTGCACCTGGCCTGGCACGGGCGCCGTGGTGACGTCTCCGCCAATTAGCGGTGGTTGTTGTTGTTGTTGTTCTTGTTTGTACTTTTGGGAAGCGGTGGTATAGCGGTGAATGCGCTGCGCTCAGCATACACAACACATTGCTTCATTCTACATACACAACACATTAATTCATTCTACATGCAACACATTAATTCATCGCCAACACCGCGGAGCCCCGCGGTGTTGGCGATCTCAGCTGCGGTCTTCCACTTGGGCTGGTGGGGGCCTGCACGAGGTGGAAGACTGTCCGCAGCCCTGCTGATGTGAGGCGTTGAGCCACGGTCCTCTCTCCTCTGATTCCCTGGAAGAGGCCGTTGCAGAACAAGGAGCTCGTTCAGGAACTGCGCGAGGTCGTAGAGCGCGCGCGTTCTGCTTCACTCGAAGCTCCGCCACGCGTCCAAGAGGCTCTGGTGATAACCTGGCAGCCCCGTGTAGTCGACCAGGCTCAGGTCCATCAGGAAGAGCTCCTGTCCGTACCCCAGGCACCCCCCTGCATTCCTCAGCAGGGCGAGGGCTGGCGACTTCCAGGGTAGCTCCTCCCGGTCGTACAGCGGCCGCCTGACTGCCATGAGCCTGAAACTCGTGACCCTGGCGGCGACGTCCACCAGACCCTGGCCGCCCTCGGCCACCGGCAGGCAGAGAACGCCCGGCCTGAGCCGATGCTTTCCATGCCAGACGAAGCGCGCGAGTGAGCGGTTGACTCTGGTGAGTAGCCAAGCAGGAGGATGGAGGGCCTTGGTCTTGTGCCACAGCGCGGATGCTGCCAGGGTGTTAGCGACGAGCACTCGGCCCCTGAATGACATCTGCGGAGCGAGGCGTGGTGCCCATGTCAGTAATTTAGCCTCGATTGTGTCGGCCAACTCGGTCCAGTTGTTTAGAGCGACGTCACGTGGTTTCCCCAGGTAAACCCCCAGGTACTTGACTCCGTCGTCCCGCCAACTGACTCCTACTGTGAGGAGCACAGAGCGAACGCCGCCTCGCGACCCCAAACACACAGGGGGGGCCTCGCACTTGGCCCAGTTGACCCTGGCGGAGGAGGCCCTCTCGTACACTGCAACCGCCTGGCAGAGCGCGGAGGCGTCACGCGCGTCGTTGAGGACGACGCATCACGTCGTCGTCTGCGTAAGCCGAGAGCTTGATGACCGCGTTCCCGGGTCCCGGGACCTTGAGGCCAGACAGATTTCGTCTCAGGTGGCGTAGCAGTGGCTCAATGGACAGGGTGTACAGCAGCCCCGAGAGGGGGCAACCCTGTCTGACGATAGAGGGGGAGAGAGAGCGAGGGGGGGTAGAGAGAGGGAGGGAGAGATAATCGAGCACTCGGCGCTCGGCACGCAGCGTCTGCCCGCGTCTATTTTTAAATCTCCTCCTCCTCCACCAGGAGCCGCGCCCGAGACCTTCTCCCTGCCCCCTCCCCTCCCGGCCTCCTCGCACACTCGGCACTGCCGCTGGCGAGAGGGGTCGGCAGCATCACCATCTACACTCCCATCACCACCTACCATTATAGCCATCGTCATCATCATCATCATTCCCCATCATACTCCCATCGTCGTCGTCATCGGAGCTGTCACCTTGCCTCGTGTGGAGCACGCACGCACGCACACACACACATGCACAGACGCACACACACACACGCACACACAAACGCACACACGCACACATAAACGCACACACGCACGCACACACACACACACGCACGCACACACGCACATCTGTTGCCGGACGCATAGAGAAAGAGAGCGGGGTTGTGGCGGGGTGGCGATAGAGACGGAGAGAGGAGACGAGGGCGGGGGGGGCCACACGGACACATGGACAGCGCGACGTCTCTGCAGGGGGAGAGCGGCTCGCGGGGGGCCCTGGTGCAGGGAGCGCGCCCCCCTCAGCGTCGCGTGCGCAGGGCGCGCACGGTGCTGGGCACGTGAGTGACGATGATGCTGATGATGATGTTGATGATGATGCTGATGATGATGTTGATGATGCTGCTGCTCATTATGACGATGCTGATAATCCTGATGATGATGCTGATGATTATACTGATGATCCTGATGATCTTGATGATGCTGATGATGATGTTGATGATGATGCTGATGATGATGTTGATCCTGATGATGATGTTGATGATGCTGATGATGATGCGTGCATTATGCGGGTCTGGTGTGAGTGCGCGTGATGTGATGTTAGTGGGGAGAGGTGCACGTGTAGTGGTTCGCGTGTTGTGTTTCGAACTTGGCGACCCGGAATTGTTCCTAGCTCACGGCCACAACCTGTGACGATTATTCTTGACCGGTACTGAGCCTCCTCTAGATTGACTCAGCCTCAAATGAGTACCTGGTGCAGTGTGTAAACATCGCCACTAGGGAAACAAAGGCGGCCGGGCGTGGTGCTGGACACCCACCCCCTCGTGTGCTGTGCCAGCCTTCTTAAGTGCTCGCTACACAACACTTGCCTCAACAGTCTGTTAAGGCTATACGGGGGATCTTTGTCTTCGTACGATTATGATGGATGTGTGTGAGTGATGCGAGTGACGTGATTGTGAGTGAGCGTGTGTGAGTAATGTGATGTGCATCTGTGAATATGAGTGTGATGGATGTACGTTAACGTGTGTTTGTCAAAGAGGAGCGGAGAGTAGTGTCGTAGCGGTGAGCGCGCTGCGCTACGAATCCGGCGACCCGGGTTTAAGTTTCGCTCACGGCCACCACCAGTGACGATTATCTGAACCGGTCCTCAAATGAGTACCTGGTGCAGTGCTTTAAACATCGCAACTCGAGAGACAAAGACGGCCGGGCGTGGTGCTGGCCACCCAACCCCTCGTGTGCCGTTCGGGCCTTCTTACGTGCTCGCTAACAGCACTTGCCCCAACAGTCTGTTAAGGCTACACGGGGGGCCTTCGTCTTGTGTGTGATGTGAATGAGCACATTCTGTTAAGTGCTCCAGTGGGAGTCTTTGTTCAATTCGTGATTTTGATGTGTGCATGCGTGTGATGTTAGTTTGTGTCTTTGTATTTGACGGGTGTGTGATTTTGGGGACTAGTTAGTGTGATTATTTGAACCGGTCCTGGGTCTCGCCTAGGTGAACTCAGCCTCAAATGAGTGCGTGGTGCGGCAGACATTGGCGACCGGGCGTGGTGCTCGCCCCTCGTGTGCCGAGCCGGCCTTCATATGTGCTCGCTAACAGCACTTGCCCCAACATTCCGTTGAGGCCATACGGGGCATCTTTGTCTTGTGGGGGAGGGGGGGGGGGGTGCTGTGCTCCATGGCCGGCAGCAGAGGCCAGTGCAGACCCCCCCACCGACCTTCGCCTTCCCGTACAGACCAGCGTGGTGAAGTATGGCCAAACCACCCCGACGAAACCCGCACGGCGTGTGAGAGACCCTTAATCCAGCAGTCGATGTAGGTGTATACATATACGTGTGTAGTGTGTGCTTATATACCCATGTATATATACCCATGTTTTATATACTGTATGTGATTGCGCGCATTGGCGGCTCAGTAATTAGGTTTAGAAGGGTGCGGGGTGTCTGGGCCCGTGCATGTCCCGGCCTCGTGTTACATTGATGGATGCGCGCTGATAACTCAAGTTGCACTAAAGTCACAAAGGCAGAGATCACCCGTATAGCCTTGACAGCCTGTAGGGGCAAGTGCTGTTAGCGAGTATCACCTATGAAGGCCTATAACGGCGCACGAGGGTTTGTCGGTGGCCAGCACCACGCCCGACCGCCTTTGTCTCCATGGTGACGATGTTTACACACCGCACCAGGTACTAATTTCAGGCTTAGTCGACCTAGGGGAGGCCCAGGATCGGTTCAGATAATCGTCGCTAACGGCACCACGGTCGCTCCGCAGTAAAGGACGAAGATAAAGACACGGGCAGGACAAGCAAACAAAGGATCCCCGTATAACCTACATGGGCTCCTGAGGCAAGTGCTGTAAGCGAACGCCTTCGCAGGCCCAGGAGAATGGAGTCCGGAACAAAAATGTGGACTCCACCTCTTCCATCTGTATGGGGATCGAGTGATTACCCTCGCACGCGTGGGGTTTGTCTGGGTGCTTTTGTTTCCTCTCAACATGTACAGTGAGGGAAACAAGTACTTGATCGCCTGCTGATTTTGTACGTTTGCCCACTGACAAATAAATGATCAGTCTAATATTTTAATGGTAGGTTTATTTGAACAGTGAGAGACAGAATAACAACAAAAAATCCAGAAAAACGCATGTCAAAAATGTTATAAATTGATTTGCATTTTAATGAGGGAAATAAGTATTTGACCCCTCTGCAAAACATGACTTAGTACTTGGTGGCAAAACCCTTGTTGGCAATCACAGAGGTCAGACGTTTCTTGTAGTTGGCCACCAGGTTTGCACACATCTCAGGAGGGATTTTGTCCTACTCCTCTTTGCAGATCTTCTCCAAGTCATTAAAGTTTCGAGGCTGACGTTTGGCAACTCGAACCTTCAGCTCCCTCCACAGATTTTCTATGGGATTAAGGTCTGGACCTTAATGTGCTTCTTCTTGAGCCACTCCTTTGTTGCCTTGGCCGAGTGTTTTGGGTCATTGTCATGCTGGAATACCCATCCACGACCCATTTTCAATGCCCTGGCTGAGGGAAGGAGGTTCTCACCCAAGATTTGACGGTATATGGCCCCGTCCATCGTCCCGTTGATGCGGTGAAGTTGTCCTGTCCCCTTAGCAGAAAAACACCCCCAAAGCATAATGTTTCCACCTCCATGTTTGACGGTGGGGATGGTGTTCTTGGGGTCATAGGCAGCATTCCTCCTCCTCCAAACACGGCGAGTTGAGTTGATGCCAAAGAGCTCCATTTTGGTCTCATCTGACTACAACACTTTCACCCAGTTGTCCTCTGAATCATTCAGATGTTCATTGGCAAACTTCAGACGAGCATGTATATGTGCTTTCTTGAGCAGGGGGACCTTGCGGGCACTGCAGGATTTCAGTCCTTCACGGCGTAGTGTGTTACCAATTGTTTTCTTGGTGACTATGGTCCCAGCTGCCTTGAGATCATTGACAAGATCCTCCCATGTAGTTCTGGGCTGATTCCTCACCGTTCTCATGATCATTGCAACTCCACGAGGTGAGATCTTGCATGGAGCCCCAGGCCGAGTGAAATTGACAGTTCTTTTGTGTTTCTTCCATTTGCGAATAATCGCACCAACTGTTGTCACCTTCTCACCAAGCTGCTGGGCAATGGTCTTGTAGCACATTCCAGCCTTGTGTAGGTCTACAATCTTGTCCCTGACATCCTTGCAGAGTTCTTTGGTCGTGGCCATGGTGGAGAGTTTGGAATCTGATTGATTGATTGCGTCTGGCTCCCAGGTGTCCTTTATACACGTAACAAGCTGAGATTAGGAGCACTCTCTTTATGTGTGCTCCTAATCTCAGCTCGTTACCTGTATAAAATACACATGGGAGCCAGAAATCTTTCCGATTGAGAGGGGGTCAAATACTTATTTCCCTCATTAAAATGCAAATAAATTTATAACATTTTTGACATGCGTTTTTATGGATTTTGTTGTTGTTATTCTGTCTCTCACTCTTCAAATAAACCTACCATTAAAATTATAGACTGATAATTTCTTTGTCAGTGGGCAAACGTACAAAATCAGCAGGGGATCAAATACTTTTTTCCCTCACTGTATACACATACCCTTTCATTGAATTGGCAGACAACACCGGACTTTAGATAGCGGACCGCAGAGCGAGGGCAATTGTTGGGAACGCCGGCTCCTAGGCGGCTCCTAGCCGGCTCCTAGGCGGCTCCTAGGCGGCTCCTCGCAGGCTTCTAGCCGGCTCCTCGCCGGCTCCTAGGCGGCTCCTCGCCGGCTCCTAGCCGGCTCCTAGGCGGCTCCTCGCCGGCTTTTAGCCGGCTCCTAGCCGGCTCCTAGGCGGCTCCTCGCCGGCTCCTAGCCGGCTCCTAGGCGGCTCCTATCCGGCTCCTAGCCGGCTCCTAGGCGGCTCCTAGGCGGCTCCTCGCCGGCTTCTAGCCGGCTCCTCACCGGCTCCTAGGCGGCTCCTCGCCGGCTCCTAGCCGGCTCCTCGCCGGCTCCTAGGCGGCTCCTCGCCGGCTTCTAGCCGGCTCCTCGCCGGCTCCTAGGCGGCTCCTCGCCGGCTTCTAGCCGGCTCCTAGCCGGCTCTTAGGCGGCTCCTCGCCGGCTCCTAGCCGGCTCCTAGGCGGCTCCTATCCGGCTCCTAGCCGGCTCCTAGGCGGCTCCTAGGCGGCTCCTCGCCGGCTCCTAGCCGGCTCCTAGGCGGCTCCTAGCCGGCTCCTAGGCGGCTCCTAGGCGCGTGGCTGCTGCTGCCTTCCCGCTCGTGACTGTGGTTCCTCCTCCCTGACGCCTCCTCTGAGTCGTCCTCCCTCTCTCTCTGAGTCGTCCTCTCTCTGAGTCGTCCTCTCTCTGAGTCGTCCTCCCTCTCTCTGAGTCGTCCTCTCTCTCTGAGTCGTCCTCCCTCTCTCTGAGTCGTCCTCTCTCTCTGAGTCGTCCTCTCTCTCTCTGAGTCGTCCTCTCTCTCTGAGTCGTCCTCTCTCTCTGAGTCGTCCTCTCTCTCTGAGTCGTCCTCTCTCTCTGAGTCGTCCTCCCTCTCTCTCTGAGTCGTCCTCCCTCTCTCTCTGAGTCGTCTTCATCTCTCTCTCTGAGTCGTCCTCTCTCCGAGTCGTCCTCTCTCTCTGAGTGTTCCTCTCTCTCTCTCTGAGTCGTCTTCATCTCTCTCTGAGTCGTCCTCTCTCCGAGTCGTCTTCATCTCTCTGAGTCGTTCTCTCTCTCTGAGTCGTCCTCTCTCTTTGAGTCGTCTTCATCTCTCTCTCTCTGAGTCGTCCTCGCTCTCTCTCTGAGTCATTCTCTCTCCCTCTCTCTCTGTGTCGTCATCGTCTCTCTCTCTGAGTCGTCCTCTCTCTCTCTCACTAAG